CCCCAAAACCCCAAAACCCCAAAACCCCTAATTTAGAGAATAAGTTCTGAAATAGGATTATTATAAATTAATGAATCTAATGTACAAAATAATAATAATTATCATATTTTTTCAATCCTTTACGAGAATGATTGGTGGAGGAACCAAGAAATCCAGTATAAATAAACTCATAGATACACTACTTAATTAAGGGGTCATCAGATCTCACAAAGTAAGCCAAGTCATGCGCAAGGTTGACAGAGCTGATTTTTGCCCAGGTCATTACTGCTACGAGGATTCACCTCAGCCCATTAATTACAATGCTACTATTTCCGCTCCTCACATGCATGCTTATGTCTTGGTAAGAATCAAAGCTACTTCTTATTAAATATTTCAATGGCATTAATGATCAATGTTTGTAGGAATGGCTAAAAGATGTATTGGTGCCTGGTGGGAACGCATTAGACGTAGGCAGTGGCAGTGGATACCTCTGCGCTGCTTTTTATGAGATGATGGATAATTAAGGCTATGTTGTTGGCATAGATCACATTGATGGTTTAGTCCATTAATCAGTCCTGAATCTTAAAAAGAGCTATTAGAAGGAATTAGATGAATAAAGGATTGTAATGTTAACTGGAGATGGCCGCTTAGGCTGTCCTGAATATGCTCCATACAATGCTATTCATGTTGGTGCTGGTAATCAATCCCCTTTTATACTTAAATTTTTTAAATATTTTTAGCTTCACCTGAGATTCCTTAAGCACTGATAGAGCAACTTGCCCCAGGAGGCAAAATGATTATACCAGTGGGGCCACCTGACAATTAGCACATTGTCCTTGCATCTAAAGATAACTATGGTAAAGTGCATGCTAATAAATTGATTGGAGTGAGATATATTCCCCTTACAAGCAAAGAAAAGCAATGTCCTGATTTATAAATCCCTGAGTACTACTAGAATCAGTGATACATTTAGATTAGTGCATTTGACTCAGATTTACTAGAATCCTGATTACTTGATTGATCAACCACAAAACTAATACCTCTAGAAGTATTTAATATTTGCTTAATGAATTTGTGATATTAGAAATTAAGTAATCATGATTTCATTTCAATACATGATTTAGTCTCTCGGGGTTTTGGGGTTTTGGGGTTTTGCAA